GTCTCGGACAGGTCCTTGCGGTAAAGCACCTCGTTACCAATGATGATACCCTTGAAGTAGTCGCAGCCATAGTCATCGAGAATGTCCCATGTTTGGGAAATCTGTCGCTCCGTTGTAGTGTCGTTCTTGTCGAGCCATACACCAAGCCAGATCTTCATGGTGTCCTTGATCTCCAGTTGGTTGATGGCGTGGATAAGCATCTGTGTTTGGTTGCAGTCGGTTCCGTACAAGCGGACTGAGTTGGTCAGTTGCGACATGACAGCCAAGTCTCGGGTGATGTTGTTCTGCGATGGTCCAACGTGGAGACAGTCTGGGTACTGCGTGTTCAGAGGAGTGTAGTCCATGCCGGGAAACACCTTATGCAAATCGGCGTTGTTCATCAAAGCCTTGATCTCGGAAGAGTCCTTGCCGAGGTCCTCCTTGTTGTCTTTGGCGATATCGTCAGCAGACTGAGCAGACTTAGCAGCCCCGTCCTTTGCACCGCCACCCTTTCCGACAGTAGCACCGAGGACACCGCCTAGAATTGCACCTGCGAGGATGAGGGTGATGATGGCAATGGCGATCCACATGCGCTTCTTCCGCTTCTTCAAGTCGTCTTCTGCTTTCCAACTTGCAACCTTTTCTGGAACAAGCTCTCCACTTCCGTTGACCATCGGTACGGCGTCGTACTTGGTACCGTCGCGTGAGGCAGCAAAAGCACCAGCGCCTGCTGCGGCAGCAACGCCTCCGTTGTTTATCGATGACCCTGGCGAGCCATTGCGACTGCTGCCGTCCCGCGAGCCACCGAATGGCACGAAAGAGCGTCGCTTGTTCTGTGGAGAGTTGTGGTCTGGGCCCATTCCCCAGTCGTCATCGTTGTCGACATCGAGCGGGTTGATCTGGCCCATCTGCGGCGCGAGGTTCTGGGCGGACGAAGAGTAGCGGTTGTAGGGCGTGTCGGCGTAGGGGACGCCGCTGTGCGGGGAGTGTGGCATGCTGTACATGGAGCTGTCACTCGAGTACATGCCGCCGACAAGTGGTGCGCCGGAACCGTAGGAGCGTTGCGAGTACATTGGGCGCGGAACCATGGGCTGGTCGTGACCATTGGGGTCATTGAAGGGTGATGACTGCGAGTTCCTGTTGGGGACGCCCATGGGCCGTCCTGGGCCAGCCATGCCTCGTGCAGCGTGCAGGCCGCTCTCGCGTGGGTGGGAGCCCGCGACGCCGCTGGCGATGCCGTTGATGCCGCCGCCCGGAGCCGTCTCGCCCATGTTGTCTGAGCCGGGGGTGACGCCTGGGGTCGAGTAGTCGGAGTAGTTATTGGGGTCGGTATACTGGCGCTGGGCGTGGAGGCCGACGGGAGTGCGATGGGCTGGCGGAGGCGGCGGATTGTCGTCGGACGGGAGGGCGTCGTGCTGCTGTCCTAATGGCCAGGCCTGGGGTTGCTGGAAAGCCATTGTGAGTGCTTGTTCGAGGTTTTGCTACACACCTCGCGTGCAGAGGCGAAAACAACCTGCGCGGGCAACGCTTGGTGGAGGTAGCGGACGGCGGCGCGCCGCTCTGCGGATCGAATGGAGGCGGACTATCGCTGGGCCTGGCTAGTGTTTGCGGCGCGGAACACGGTTGGCTGGGTGGTTTGTTCTTCACGGCGTGGGACCTCGCAGGGATCCGGGCAGAACGAGCGGAAAAGATAATGCAGAGGCAGCGTTTCGCAGAGGCGCAGGCGCGGTCGCAGTGGTGGAGAGAAGGTCGGAGTCGTGCAGTGGCCGAGATGATGCAGGTGTGTTAGGCGGGTAACACGGCGCTGGCACGACAGAGGCTGACGGCTGCGACTGCGCGATGCGCTAGCCCGCTAATTCACCCAGGAAACCACCACGGAACCCACTGTGACGTCTCCGCCAATGCACCAGCCCCAAACACACTCAACAGGTTTTGCGACAAGATAACGCCTATACCGACTGCCCGCCTTTTCCCCCCGACAATGGCCCTTCTGGCGTCCACGCCGGCCTCGTCCATATCACGATCACCCTCGTGCCTGCCTCTTCCTGCGCTGTGTTCCCTCGCGCCTGCCTGTGCGCCCAATGCAGGCAAGAGCGATATGCCCTCAACCAGAACAAGCAGTTGCAGTGAGGCCTTGGCGCCGCCGCGGGAAGCCCCATCCACAACGGCAAGCGCAAGGGTGGAGCCAGAGGCAATTTCCCATATCAGTTGCACCTTTCACGTTTATTGCCGCGAAGCCTCTCTGGTATCCTCCCTTTAATCCCCTGTTCATCCTGCACGCCTTGCATCTCGTCTGCTGTCGACTCCGCTGCCTGCAACTGTCATGGACGTCTTGTCCGCGTTCCTTCCACGTTCTATTCCTAGCTCCTCGTGTCAGCCGCTACCGCAAACGGCTCCACCGTGGAATCTGGAGCGACCTACTTTAACCCATTTAGTCTGCATTCAACACTGCATAGCCTCATAGTCGCCTTCGTCTTTTCAACTTTTTCACGCATTCCCACCTGCTCATTCGAAGTCGTGTCTCAGCCTGGGCATGCGCGACATCCAACGCCCTTGTAGCGATCTGACCGCCGTGGTGAAACACAAACACCAGATCAAGATCGCCATCGGTCCCCGGCTGATAAGACATGTTGTGCTCACCACTCGCTCCTACCCCGCGCCATTGAGCGAATCTAATCCCGCCGTGCGTTCGGCGCCGCGTCAGCGTCAAGTCATCCTACCAGACTCTAGCAGCCTCGACCTTTCTGGCTCGACTGTCAACACGCGCAGCCTCCCAGCCTCCCGACTGCTGCATACCTCATGTACCACGTCACGTTTCTGCAGTCACAGTATTGGCCTGCATGCACCACGCCGCGCAATACATCTTAGCACGTTCTCATGTCTATGTTAACCAAATATCACCGACTGCAGCAAGCCAAGCTTCAATGGTAAGCCGGACCATGTTTCACATTGCCCACACAGGCAACTCGGGCGATTCACCCCGATAAATCTAACGTCTGTCCACGACTTTTCATGTTCAAAGTCTGAATTCGATACTTGCGAACGCAAATTCCATCATCTGTTTGACCTGCATGTGCTAGAAGATCGCCATGCTTCCATTTCTCGGTCCAGAGATTAGGGTAGTGTTCGCGCTCCATCCTATTCGTATCGTTTCGTCTGCGATTCCCGCACAGTCTTTTACAATCCGTACAAGCATGGTTGGATGTGCTTTGATGTGAAGGGTTGGCCTGATGATTGATATCTACTCATGAACACGTCTGCGTGACGGTACGTACATGGCGCAAATACTACTACATACGTGAACAACTTCAAAAAGCCAATACTCCTCAGGATCGGAGCAAGGCAAACGACAGCCTCGGCGCAATCAACCTCCGATTGTATTTATACGGCACGTTATTATTGGAAGGCACCTGGGAGAATGGACGCCTCGTCGAGTCTAAGCCCAGAAGGTGTATCGCTTGGCGCATGATTTCCCTAATTCGGACAACTCCACTATCAAAACGAGGACATCAGCCTTGATCGTAAAACGGGAAGAGGAATATCGAGCAGCGTTTGTGTATACATATATTTTCTCCTTGCAACTCAGCCAAGTTCTTCATCTCAACTTCCCAAATATTCCATCTTCCAGTATCTTCTGAAGCAATGCCACCCCACTCAACAATCCACAACACCATCACCAGCCTAACCACCGGCCCCCCTCTCGTCATCGCTATCATAGGCGGAACCTCAGGCATCGGATCCTACATCGCCAAAGCCTTCGCCTCCGTTTACCGCAACTCAAATTCCAAACTACGCATCTACATCGTCGGCCGCAACGCCTCGCGCGCAGAAGCTCTGCTTGCAGAAGTGCGCGCCACAAGCCCAGATTCAGAATGGCGATTCATACAAGCCCATGACCTGGCGCTGATGAGCGATGTCGACACCATATGTGCGCAAATCAAGAAGTATGAAGAAGAGCAGCCATTGAACGGGGGAGAACCGCGGATAGACATGCTATACATGACCCAAGCAGAGTCACCACTTGCGCCATCACCGCGTAAGTATTTTCCATCTGCACTCGCTTCCAGCAAGAAGTGAGGCGTAACAACCACCCTCCCAATCACCTCAACTAACCAACCCCACCAGTAACAAAAGAAGGCCTCGACACCCAAGTCTCTCTCCTATACTACTCCCGCATCCGCTTTATCCTCACCCTTACATCCCTACTCCTCCGCTCCCAAAACCCAAGCGGCGCCCACGTCATCTCCGTCTTCGCAGGCACAATCGAAGACCCCATCTCCCCGTCTGCCCTTCCAATCGGCCCACCAACACCGGAAAAGCACGGCGTGACATCGGTTCGCACGCATGTTGCTTTCATGAAGACCTTCATGTTCGAGGCCCTAGCCGAAGAACACGCTGGCAAGATCGCTTTTATCCATGTTTATCCGGGGTTGGTTGACGGTCCAACGTTCCTTAGTAGAGTAAACCCACTGTGGTTTCGCGTACTATGGCGCGTAGCTAAGGTGTTGATGGCATGGTACATGACGAGTCCAAGGGTGTGTGGTGAGGTCATGGTGTTTCTAGGTATGGGCAGGTATCCCGCGAGGGGCGCGGGCGTGGGGCTCAAGGAGGGCGAGGAAGGGAAGACGGTGGCTGATGTGGCGTTTAGTAGTACACGGGAGAGGGGAGGAGGTGCATATGCGGTGGGTCAGAGGGGTGATGAGAAAAAGCAAGTTAGTTATGCCAAGCTGAGGCAGAGTGACACGAGGGACAGGGTTTGGAAACATACCATGGGTGTGTTGGGGAGTGTTCCGGGGTTGAGTGAGTAAATTGTGAGGAGGAAGGGGGCTTGTATAGGACGAAACGGCATCCATGCATTGTTTGGAAAAGAAACGTGGGGACATCAGACTGATAGATGAAGATCGTATTTTGTATCTTGCACCACCTCAAATAGGTAACAGGGGTATTTATAACGACCACATTTATGTACGACTCCTCCAGCGGAACACTGTTGCGCAACTCAGAAGAATGCATCGAAGCCATTACTGCCAGAGGTGGTCGCAATTCCAGTCTTGCACCACGCCACCACCGAAAGCAGCGTGGAGACTAAACATATCGGTCTGGCAATCGGCAAACTCCGCGGCGAGCCCAGCAAAGTCGTTGAGGTATTGCTCGGCAGTCTCTCCACGGATTCCTGGCCCATGGGTTGCTGGAAGCGGGTCGGGCGTTTGCTTCGAACTGACAGGCCATGTAGGCGTAACTTTTGGAGGTGGGCGTATTGAGGACGATTTCGTGCGCTTAGCTAGTGACTCGGCGTCGTCTCGTTCATGCTGATGACCGCTGGCGGTAAGCTTGGGTGGTAACAGCTGCTCCATGCAAGCAGTCATTATTCCCCTGGTGGTAGAATGGAGCTCATAAAGTCGTCCCGGGGATGATTCGGGTAGCTGTACGCATTTGAGCGCCAGCGACAGGAAAATGATGTCCTTGAGATCATCTGCTTTGCCACGACCCAATCTCGCGATGAGGTAGTTGATGGTCTGCTCTACCTTGGCGATGAGTATGTGTTCGTTGTGCCCGGACATTCGTTGCTCTAGATACTGGCCATTCGAGCTGGCCTGACGGAGATGTTTGATGCGTTGGCATACTGTGAGAGCAGACCACAAAGTGTCTTTTTTGCACAACCAGAAGTAAAGATCCTCCTGTGACGGTGATGTATCTTCAAGTGCTTGAGGGTAATAGAAGTTTGAATAAGAGAGTATGGCCACCGATGAATCGACACATTGTAGCCAGGCCTCTGCGACTTCTTGCTATCAAGTTGTTAGCATAGAAGGTTACTCTAGACAAAGATAAGAGACTTCGAATTCTTGAAAGAACGTTAGACGAATTCTGCGTCTAAAATCTATCGCCTGCGTCAAAACTGAGGAAATACGTACTGGTTATAGGTCAGCTAGACATTTTATCAAGTATCCGCGGTGGCTGATTTACCTTGATATTCCTGATAGCCGAAGAGGAGTGGTCTGTATAAGCATAATAGCGATCGTCGAAGATAAAAGTCTAGGAGAATGCGATGCAGAAATCCACCTCGATCGCCGGTTGCTGGCTGGCTGTGTTGCAGGCTGAGAGTCAATGGTAGAGAGCACCAGGATCTTTGTATCTCACGCCCTATCTCAATCGCCTCGTTGACATCGGGGATCGAGCGCTGTACAAGCGAAGAAGCCCTGATTCGATGTGGAAGAGACATAGCAAGATGTATCTGGTAGAGGTTGTCTGTCAGATCGCAAAGAGGGCGGGGAGGAGGTAGCTTCGATGAAGACTCGTCAAAGTCCTCGTCATACAGATTTGCCGGTACCGGACAGTAAGATCCGAGCTCTGGGACTATCAAGGGCATACCCGTCATGATAGATACTTGTACTTCCGTTTCCAAAACAGACGCCCATAGCCGCTTCCGCATCTCCATCTGGTAGGGCGAAAGATGCTTTATCTTCGCAGGATCTATGTGCAAGCCCATGGTCATAGCTGACCGCATTATGGCACCGCTGCGGCTCCAAATTCTATCTGGGTCGGAGTGGCTAACGCTACCAGACAGTAGCACAAGTAATTCGACTTGAAGAGTTGATAGCTCCGTTCGCTGCTTTCGTCCAAGTTCCCCGAGCCATACCTGGATGTGGTTGATAGCTGCACCCCGCAAATAGGCTCTGTAATCGTCTGCTTCATTGGTTCTAGCCGTATCGTCGAGCAAGTAAGCCCTGGTCATAACGCTCGTGAGCAGTGCGAGGATGCTGGATGTAGAATCAAGCCCAGATCCGCTGTCAAGCCACAGTCTTTCATACTGACGCATGAAAGTGGGGCGGTGCAGAACGCGCATGGTACGCTCAAAATACTGGAAGTATATGGTAACCAGCTTGTCACAGTACGGCTTTGGTGGTAGGGACTCCCATAGCTTTAGTAACGATGGCGAACATCCAGAGTCATGCTTGCGCTCAGGCGGCCGAATTGGATCTCCTTTTGATTTGCTTTGAAGAAATTTAACTTTCTTTGCAGACGCCATCAACTGCTCATCACTAGCCATCTTGTTGAGGAAGTCCTTGACATCGAGGAACTGTGTTCCGTCAGTATCATGTTTCACAGATGGTTTTCAATCCTCTTGCCTGATTAAGGAGCGTAGTTTTATCATTCTGCCCAAAATACCGTGATCTACCTCTTTCAGCCACGACTGTGCCAACGAGAGGCAAGTCTGCTGTCGGTGTTGACTGGCCGACCTCTGCTTTCATTGGATGTTCGCGCGCACGTTCAAAGCAATACATGTCGACATCTGGTAAGGCTCAATGCCAGGTAAGATAGCAAATCCTACTGGCACGGGCCAAAGAGTTATTGATGCGCCGTCTGGCAAAGGATGTGAAGGATGCTTTGTGTCTACCGACTCTGGATGTAATTGCCGCATTGGAGTTTGCGGCTAAAGACATGTGAGGGATCCATGGATGCGCGGACGGGTCTTTCCTCAAACTGCAAGCAAGGCGGCAAGCTAATGCACGTCCGCGGCGTAGTCAAGGTGTCCACTAACCCCTGACAGGGACGGCACTTAAGCGTTGTCGAGTGCCATGAAGATCCAAAGACACTCTCGAGTTATCTATCTAAAGATGACTAAGTGGCTTCATGGTCGTGTAAGAGGAAGGATAGTAGTGACGAAAATATGCTAAAGGCCTACGGTGCACCTGGAAAGAGGTGTTGGAAGGATTAGCTAACGTAACTACCAAAAGGCCTGTCATAGCATGCGTGCCGTGATGGGAACCAAGAATCGAGGCACGTGACACTATATCAGCGATTGACACGTGAAGCTCGACAGTCGCACGCACTGTCGCGTGTGTTTGTGTTGAGAGTCGAGTGTGGTGAAGGAGTCTGGAAGGCGGTGGTGACGTCTAGCTTGATTCGCCTAGAACCCCACACCGAAGGTCCCTGAGAGCAACGGCGAGATTTGCCCGCCATAACAACACGTAGCTTCCCAATCCGCAAGTAGCAATTGGCATACATTCCACACATCAATTGCGTCTCCCATAACCACCCATTGGAACATTGACCCCATTTTGGCATCTCCTGCAGGTAAGTGCCAGGGAACAGCTGCGAGGCCCCACCTGCATCTGAAGCTCTCTGGACACAGTAGCTAACAGCTCCCCTCGCGTTCTGCAGCTATCCGACGTCCATCATGAGCAACCTCTTCGAAGCCAAAGTCAAGAGCGTCCTTTCCGGCGACACCGTCGTTCTCCACAATATCAACAACCCAAAAGCAGAGCGCACACTGAGCTTAGCCTTTGTCACCGCGCCGAGACTGCGACGAGAGGGCGACGAGCCCTTTGCCTTCGAGTCACGCGACTACCTCCGCCGTCTGCTGGTGGGCAAGGTCGTCCGGTTCCAAGTCCTCTACAAGATCCCGACGGGCGCGAACCGCGAATATGGCCTCATCGTCACACCGAACAAGGAGATATTGCCGCAACAAGCCGTCGCGGCGGGCTGGGTGAAGCTGCGCGACGACGCCGGCCGCAAGGAAGACTCGGATGAGGCTGCCAACCTACTCGAGCGACTGCAAGTAGACGAGGCACGCGCCAGGGCAGACTCCAAGGGCCTCTGGGCGGAAACTGGCGGCAGGATCAACTCGTCGTCAGAGCTGAGCGATGCGACCAAGTTCGTTGAGCAGAATAAGGGCAAGGACATCGATTCGATTGTCGAGAAGGTCCTATCCGGCGACCGCCTCATCGTGCGATTCCTCCTATCGCCCACCGAGCACGTACAAACAATGGTCCTCCTCGCCGGTGTCCGCGCCCCCGCAACACAGCGAACAAATCCTTCCGACGGGAAAGTGCAGCCAGCCGAGCCGTTCGGCGACGATGCTCAACAATTTGTCGAGACAAGGCTGTTACAGCGAGGAGTCCTCGTCGAGGTTCTGGGAACAACACCGAATGGCCAGATCGTCGCAGACGTCAAGCATCCTACCCAGGGCAGCATCACACCTTTCCTGCTCAAGAACGGCTTGGCCAAATGCACCGACCACCACACCACCCTCCTCGGCCAGAAGATGGGCATACTTAGGGGCGCTGAGAAGCAGGCAAAGGACGGCCGCCTGGGTGTATACAAGGAACACGTTGCGCCCAAGATTAGCAAGGCTGGGGAGCAAGAAGCTACCGTTAGCCGTGTCCAGAGCGCAGACACCATTTTCATCCGGAACAAGGCGGGCGCGGAGAAGCGCATCAACCTCAGCAGCGTCCGCCAACCCAAGCCTACGGATCCCAAGCAATCGCCATGGGTAGCGGAGGCCAAGGAGTTCTTGCGCAAGAAGCTCATCGGCAAACACGTCAAGTTCCACGTAGACGGGAAGCGACCGGCGACCGAGGGCTATGATGAGCGCGAAATGTGCACCGTCACCTTTCAGGGCAAGAACGTTGGTCTGATTCTTGTAGAGAGCGGCATGGCATCCGTCATCCGCCACCGACAAGACGATGCCGACAGGAGCCCCATCTACGACGATCTTCTGCTGGCCGAGTCCACCGCACAAGCTGAGAAGAAGGGTCTCTGGTCAGACAAGTCGCCCTCTGTCAAGCAGTACGTCGACTACTCAGAGTCGCTCGAGAAGGCCAAGCGCCAACTCACTCTGCTTTCGCGCCAACGCAAGGTACCAGCCATTGTCGATTTCGTCAAGTCTGGCTCGCGCTTCACTGTACTAGTACCTCGCGAGAACGCCAAGCTCACCTTCGTCCTCTCCGGTATCCGCGCACCTCGATCGGCGAGAAACGACAGCGAAAAGGGCGAACCTTTCGGCAAGGAGGCCCATGAATTCGCGAATCGCCGCTGCCAACAGCGAGACGTCGAGATCGATGTCGAGGACTGTGACAAGGTCGGTGGCTTCATTGGCACTCTGTACATTAACCGTGAGAACTTTGCGAAGACACTGGTGGAGGAAGGTCTAGCTACTGTACATGCCTACTCAGCAGAGAAGTCTGGAAACGCAAACGAACTATTCGCAGCCGAGCAGAAAGCCAAAGACGCGCGAAAGAACCTGTGGCAAGACTACGACCCGTCTCAAGAAGAAGAGGACGGCGAGGCAGCGGTAGCTACTGAAGCTACCAACGGCGACGCCGCATCATCAAGAAAGGCCGACTACCGCGATGTTATGATCACCCACGTCGAAGATGACGGAAGGCTTCGTCTCCAACAGATCGGCAGCGGTACATCAGCGCTGACATCACTCATGAGCGCCTTCAGCAAGTTCCACCTCAACCCTGCAAACAGCAGTGGCCTGCCAGACGCGCCCAAGGCGGGCGAGTTTGTAGCAGCCAAGTTCACTGTCGATGACCAGTGGTACCGTGCGCGCATTCGACGCAACGACCGAGAGAACAAGAAGGCCGAGGTTGTCTACATCGACTACGGTAACTCAGAGACAATCCCGTGGTCTCGTCTTCGCCCTCTCTCACAAGCCGAGTTCCTGCCATCGAAGCTGAAGCCACAGGCTGTAGAGGCGCAGCTGGCGTTCATTCAACTTCCTGGCAACTCCGAGTACCTTGCCGATGCCGTCAGCTTCATCTCACAAGAGACAGCTGATCGTGAGCTCGTCGCAAGAGTCGAGGCCACCGAGAAGGACGGCATGCTTTGGGTGACACTGTACAACCCGGACCAGAGCAAGGACGGCACTGAAAGCATCAACGCCGACATTCTTAGCGAAGGTCTTGCGATGGTACCCAAGAAGCTGCGCCCGTGGGAGCGCTCGGCCAACGTGCTGGCTGCCATGAAGAAGAAGCAGGACGTGGCCAAGGAGGAGCGCCGCGGTCAGTGGGAGTATGGTGATCTCACTGAGGACTAAGCCTGTACATAGTTTTACGGTTGCATAGCAAGGAAAATAGCGGCACCGAGTGCGAATACTGTACGATAAAAGCATGTATTACGATTTGCACACAAGCAACACTCTTACATTCACATGTGCTACCAAATAATGCCTCGTGATGGAGGGCTGGCACCGAAGCTGCGAAGACGGCCAGGTGGAGGCTTAGGCGGAGATGACGACGAGGTGATTGGCGGCTTCGGCCATCCCCCACCCATCCACGGCAGCGCGCTGAGGCGGTGCCTGTAGGCAACCACCAAAATGCACCCCAGTCACGCTGAACACGGGTCTTGCGCCATGACGGCTACCTTCCAGGCAGGCGCATTGCAGACATCCTCCATGACTTTATACACGCGCACTTAACACCCCCTCATCCTCGCTCCTCGCGCGTCAGAACACCCGTTGCGACACGCACAGAGCAGTCGCGACCATGGAGACCATCAGTCGACTGCCCCGACGCCTGACACAGCTCTACTCCGACACCAAGACCACATGCGATGCTGTCGTCGAGCAGGATGCCAAAGACACGCCCG